CAATCAGCGGGCCTCAATGGTGACTGATGCAACGGCGGGGAGTAATCAGGTTTCGGACAGCAATACCCCGCGGTAAAGGACGGTGAAAACTCGATGTCAATGTCTGGGAGGTGCGAATTACAGTCACCACAAAAATTCAAGCTTTGATTTGATTATTCATGTGTTGCTGCTTCCCCTGTCTTGCGTCCAGTACAAGCTCGGAACGGCTCAGCTCACTATGGAGTCTTCAATTGGCAATTTAGAGGCCAACCTTCCCGGCAATGGGAGCAGTAAGTCCAACAAGGAGCCACTCCCCGCAAAGCTGAACGCCTGGGTTGATGGCAAGCTGCCCGACGCTGTGGACGATGGGGAACAGCAGATTATCGAGGCTGGAGAAGCCAAGTATCATCGCCTCGGCTGGAAGGGTCTAACGGTCATGCTCATTGTGGAGGCCATTGGCCTAGGATCGTTATCTATTCCTTCCGCGTTCGCATCTCTCGGCATGGTGGCTGGCGTTATCTGCTGTGTCGGTATTGGCTTGATAGCCATCTACACCTCGTACGTGATTGGGCAGGTGAAGCTCGCCTTCCCGGCTGTTCGGGATTATGGTGATGCGGGTGCCTTGCTGATGGGTACCTGGGGTCGGGAACTATTCACCTTCATGTTGATCCTTCAGCTGATCTTCCTGACGGGTTCCAATTGCTTAACCGGCACCATTGCCCTTCGCCATATCACGTCTAGCGGCATCTGCTCCGTTGTCTGGAGCGTGGTGTCCGCGGTGATTCTTCTCTTGCTCTCCATCCCATCCTCTTTTGCCGATATGGCCTGGCTCGGCTACGTGGATTTCGTTTCGATCGTGGCAGCCATTGGCATCACTATCATCGCTACTGGCATCCGGGGTACTGATTCCACCGGAGGCTTGGCAGCCGTGGACTGGTCGGCCACTCCTCAAGGCGATCCTACTTTCTCAGATGGATTCATCGCGATCAGTAATATTGTCTTTGCGTACACCTTTGCCAGCTGTCTCTTTTCGTTCATGGACGAGATGCATACCCCTAGGGAATTCACCAAATCCATCTGGTCCCTTGGCATCCTTCAGATCGTCATCTACACTGTCACGGGCGCCACTATCTACGCCTTCGTGGGCACCGATGTCCAGTCTCCTGCCTTGCTTTCAGCTGGGACACTCGTTAGCAAGGTCGCCTTTGGCATTGCCCTTCCGGTCATCTTCATTTCGGGCGCTATCTGCACCATTGTGGCTGGGCGGTTGATTCACGGCCGGATCTATGCCAACAGTGTGACCAAGTACATCAACACGCCTAAGGGTTGGATCACGTGGCTTATAGTTATCACTGTCTTGACCATCATCTCGTGGGTCATCGCAGAGGCTATCCCGTTCTTCGATGATCTTCTCTCCATCACATCAGCATTGTTCACCTCTGGTTTCTCTTTCTACCTTCCCCCGATCATGTGGTATGTCCTCATCCGCAAGGGGCCATGGTACTCCAAGGAGAACCTGTTGACCAGTCTGGTGAATCTGTTTGTCTTTATCTTTGGTCTTATTGTTCTTGTTGGTGGTCTTTACTCGAGTATTCAGGATATAGTAAGTTTTCTGCCCCCCACCCCTCAACTAACTTTTTATTAATCATATCGAACAGCGACTTAATTACCGTGAAGGTGATGTCCACAGCCCTTTCACTTGTGGTGATGTTTCATAAAAGCTTTGTTTCATTCATCATTATATATTACCCGCACATGTTAATAGACCTTTGTACCGAGCCATTCGGCTTGATGATTCCCATGCCATCTGGAATGTCTAACTTGTCATATCTCACGAAGACATGATAACCGCCAAACTGGCTTTGCATTGTTGGAAAAGAAAATTGCTGTATATTAGCTGCCTGTACATATATTGAGCTCTGTTGAATCGGGATGCAGAGGACAGGACAGCCTTTACTCTGAGATTCTTTGTGTTGACTTTTGTCACTTGTTATTTCAATCCGCCACATGTCAACAACGGACATCACTCAGGCAGTGATTCTGATCTATTCTTGGCCCGCAACCTATTTACCATACTACCTTTCGGAATCTATTCATCATAACAACCAACTCACACTTCAATTCGACCCCGTCCCGGAATTGATAGACGACCACACTCGCAACCTCCATGCTCAAAGACGTTATCTCATCGACAACGGAAGTGTTGGCTCACTGTGACCATCTCATGATGACTCGCTATTATCTTGTTCTATGGAGCATCAAATTCAAAGAGGAACCTGATATTTGTGTTTACCTTATCTTTTGGAATATAGATCCCTAGATAGTTGTTTACATTTTACTACTAATACATAATACGGCAAAGCTGCCACTAATTGATCATTCATCTCTGAGAATAATGCACAGCTCGATCCTAATTATCCTTCTTCCAATAGCGGAGTATGCCAAAGGAAATAGGGGATAGCGAAAAAGCAGAGTGGACTACCCTTTTTTCTTTTCTTTTTCTTTTTTGTGAATAACTTCGAGTGGGGACGTGATCTAAAATCGAAGATTAAGTTGAGTAAGCTATCGCGGAGCTAGAATCATATAACGTAGCGCCTCGGAAAGGAAGAATGGCTACGGTATACCTTTTCCCAATAGACTTTGCCATTGATGCAAGAAAAGTGCCAGAAAGTCATGAAGAAAAGAGAGAGTACTCGGCTCCAAGGTACATGGCCAGCTTATTTCGTACGTTCTGATGCTATCTATCCTTGAGCTAGTGAATTTTAATAGATTCATTCGCTTCAGATGTCGATGCAATAGTTCGCTACCCTCTAAGATACTAGTGAGAACAGTATATGGACTAAGAAGTAGCGGGTGCTATCAATTCTCCCTCTCCGAACTTTAACCGCAGCTCATGCAAGGGCCGGCCTAGAGCTCCGCTTCCCGAGCTCAATCCATGGTACGGAGCTCCCTAGCAAGTGTGCGATTGTATTTCTTTGAGAGACATGTGAAATGCCTTGCAACTCATTCCCATGAGTAGTATTACCAGAGATATTTAGATTGCCGATCGAATACCCTTCCAAAATGGGTGCATCAACGATATATGTATACGTGGAAATGTGCTTGTCCATGCCACCATGTAAACCAGAAAACACCCACACTGACACAGTGGATTGCCTACATTCAATATTCATTGACCAGCATGTGCGAGTCGAATAGACACTGTAGTCTTTAGGTGCTGTAGATGCAGAGTACAGAGGCGTCTTTGAGCACAGCCCGTATTTGGAAGGCACGCTCGGTGGAAGAAACCCGATCAATAAGCACCTCACCCGCGTGCGATGAAACTAGTTCGAGTTCTTTGAATGCACTCATTCCTAACGCCCCCTAAGAGTTCAACAACCGACTAAGAGGTATGCCATTGCCATTGACTCCTAATAACTGTGGCAGACTCATGTACAGCCCAACCAAAGCTCCATTACGCCGAATCCCGCCAATTCTGCACCACAAGCCAAGTAATCTTCTCCGTATGCCTCACCTCCTTATCCATATCTCTGGCTTTCTTCAGCAGCTTCTTTCTCACTTTTATATCCGCAGTCTGCCCCGCCATCTCATACAACAAGATAGCTTCCCCGCGCCAGATCTCATGTTGAACCTCGGACACAACTTGCCAATCCCGAACAACCTTCGCCGCATCCCTGCGTACCTTTCCCTTCTCCTGGCTCCATCCCCTCTTCGCCTCCGCCGCAAGATCCAAGTCATAAACATAGTCGATGAGCTGACATAGCTGTCTCCCAGGTACACGAACCCGCGAGCGCACGCCCTGAACGAGGTCCGTTTTCGATGGTACAGTCCACCGCGGACATAGGGACGCACAAAGCGGAAACTTCGGATGAAGGCCCAGTATCTTCCTCAGCTGCTTCCCACTGACGATCGATACTTCGAGATGTTTAGGATGGAACAGCAACCGGTTAGCTCTGTTAAGGTAGGCCGTCCTCCGCGCAAACGGTCCCTTGATATATGCCATGTGGATAAGACGAGCTGTGAGGTCCGAACATTGTCCCAGAAGTGCGGTGATTTTCGTGGGGTCGATATGGTCAGCAAAATGGATGGCTTGACCGGCCTTTTGCATGTACTTCAGGGCCGTGTGTCCAGCCTGTATGATGTTCAGCTCGTCGATGAATTCGAGAAAGGCTTCTTCGGGGATTCCAAAGTTGGTTAGAACGTCGGTGTAGGCGCGGATGAAAGGGAGATTGATAAGGAGTCGATCGGTGAGATTGCATACGCGGGGGATGGCTATGAGGCGCTCTAAGGGTTGGTAGTTTGGTGGTTGGGAGTCGGTGGAATTCGTTTCAGTGGTTGTGGTTTCGTGGAGGTCGCTGCATTGAGCATCCATCGTGGGCGAGTAAGTGGGACTGTTATTGGGCTTGGTTGGGGTAGGCGTTCATCATGGAGTGTAGAGGTGGAAGTTGTAAGGGTGGGGCTTTGTGGCAGCCATGCTATGATCGGTCTTTTATGGTTCTCAGTGAGCCTTTCTCCCAACTCTTAAACGAACAGACTTGATCCTTCTGACATGTGGAAGACTGCGCCTAGATCCTCATATCTGGATACGATCGTAAAACGTATGAAAACTATATGCACCGCCGCGATATTTGTGAATTGCCATAGAGCTATTGGTCGCTCGGGTCATGATACGAAAGAACAGCTTCAGGGGCCGTTCTGGTCAACTGACAGCTCAATGGAAGTCGGAGCCGATGATCGTGCAAGCACAAAATTAAGTTCTGTTTACCAACATCGATCGCTGGTGGGGTTGACTTGTTGCTTGGAACCAACGACGACCCCTCCCGGCGATTTGGATTCCAGGCCCGCCACATCCGAGCAATGGTCCCGAAGCGAGCAATTTTAAGCTAGGGAGGCAACTCCACTAGGTTCCAGAGAACATTATTAGTTGGTATTTAAGGTGCTCACTCGTAACCAAGTTCACGAGAAAGTTTCAACCTAATCATATGATCTGTCAGTCCGACCACGTCTCTCTTGCGTTCCATCCAGGTTATTGAGTCAGGATGTCGTGCACCCTTCCTCTCTTTAGGACTATTGCAATTATGTTTCATCGTTAGAATCTAGCATAAGCCAATCATAAGAGAATTCACATAGCATTTACTGTCCCAATTCTGGCTAGGTATCTATTCTCAGCTCCTGAACCAGAACCTTCATACCCCCTCCTCACACATCCCCTACTAAAGCACACAAACTTAACAGCTAAGTCTCATAAGACATAAAAGTCCCACAATATGGAACCCATCTCATCTCCCAAACAACCCCATACGGTGCATACCTCGCATTCATCCCATCAACGTAGGTTCGCAGGCGATCATTAAACCGATCCACCGCGGCACCGTAGAAACAAATCGACAGCCCACATGTGAAACACACCAGATATATCTCCCTACTTTGGTCTTTAGAGAGCTTCGCTGCCATATGCCGGATGATGTACATGTCTTGATCCCACATGAATTCGGGCACTCCACGTCGTGCTAAGACTGGTGGGAAGCCGGTAGGAAGGCCGTTGACTGTGGTGGGAAATTCGACCCTTTCGTGGTCGGCTTCCACGATGCTGATGTTGGCCATATGATTTTGGTATTCTTTTGTGGCAGGTAAATCGCGAGTAATAGCGTGTGGGAAGAAGACTTGCAGTCAAGGAGATCGGGAGCGGATGTGGTAAGCTTTTGCGGTCTGTGCGATGTTCGTCAGGTCATGTTGGGGTTTGGGATATAATAGTCCTTGATAGTATCTTCTATAAATACGCTATATATCTACAAATCTAGAGCCTATTTCCCTAAAATTCAATAACAATGGACAACCCACGAGATGGCTCGTTCTAGACTGTATTTCTCGCCATATAGGCAGTAGCATTTGAGGAAATGAACGAGCAGTACTCCGTATGCTGCGTACCCGAAAAGAGATCCTTGGGTCAGATATCCTCGGGTTATTCCACTGGACTATGGTTCTACGCGTAAGCTCAACTCAAAGAAACACAGCCACAGCGAGGATGAGGAACACTATGGATAGAAACGTGTCATTTCAGGCACTAAATGTACAACATCTCTCTCATCAAGCCAACGCTCCTGATTGTACCCTCCTACATGCTCCATCTAATTAACATCCCGGTAAAGCCTCTCCCCACACTAACATGTCCTTCACTCAGTGTAGCAAGGCGTCCGACCCTGCGCTGTAATAGCACTAATACACTCATATTTACCCCCAGCATTGCACGCAGTACCGGCTGTACCATCGGCATTGCTAACGCCGTCGGCCCGATGAGCTTTGGCGCAGATGCTGGTGCAGTCTAACTCTCCGATGCTTGCATCCTGTAGGAAACCTTATTAGCTTCTTGGAAATAGTATTGCTGCGTGGGACAGTACTTACCGAGTATACGCAGCAGTGACTGCTGTCGCTGAACTCGCACTGGCAGTATGTGCAAGCCTGCGCGGTGAGGGCGCTGATGAGGAAGAGTCCGAGGGTCATGATGCGGACCATTATGAATAGTAGAGAGATTGGATAAGAGATTTAGAAGGGTTGAAAATTGTCTTGGTTGACTGGAGGTGTATGGTTTAGTGGATAAGTCGACAGGAAAGGGCGCCCTTATATGTTCTTTCCTGGACTCCGCGGTGCTAGAACCACAAGGACGATTTTCTAGACAATCACTGGGCATGACGAAAAAAGATTCAATATAGGTATAGTGGTTTTTAGTTGCCCATATCTAGAAAAGGTAACTTATACGGGGCAATATAGAAGATCCATATGTATAGCGTATATTAGGAGGAAGGTGTTGATTGTTGTCAGGATCGTCAACCTTTCTAATAGTAGTTTAACCCACTTTACATGACTTTAGCTATCCACTAGCTTCATGACATGTTTTACCGATGATGTTCCGGCCCGTCTGCATTCATGTTCAGGGGTCTTTTGGTGACAGCGTTCAGATACCGCCCGAATCCTTCGGATCCTTCGCCTCTGATCCTCCATAGCTTAGCAGAGCCAGACCCACAATCTGTCGCGATGATTTTCTTAGGACTAAGGAGCCTAGTGAGAACTTTGGCGTTGATCGACAACTAGTCTCTTGTGACTTATTGGAGTTGTTTCATATCGAAGGATTGAAATCCCGTGGTGGTTTAAGACAAATTTCCTTCAATAGCCAAGGCAATATCTCAGGTTTTGATGTAGCTTTTCCTTTCCAGATTCTAGAATGGGAAATATGCCCTCTAAATGCGAAGCTATCCTCAGGAGGGCTTTTGGTTCAGTTTTTACCCACAGTTTTCATCCTTGAAGGGTGGCATTGTTCGAGAGACATGGGAAGAAGTCACTCATACTATTTGGAAGTGGTTCTATTGACATAGTATTATAGTAAGATAGCTGTGTATGTAGATCCCATCATCCCCGAAGATATCCCTCGCCATCCTGCAATCAATACTCGACACTATCACACCATTACACCACCAACCATATCAGCACCTTGGCACACCTAATCAACCTCCTCTTCCTCCTTATCCGAAGCCAAAAAGACCCTCCCGTTGCCATTTTCTCCCCTCTCAAACTCCAGCGACAAGTTAGCCATATGAGCAAGCACATTCCCAATAGCCGCATCCCCTTTACTCTGTTTGCCCCTGCCCAAGTTATCCAACCAGGCGATCTTATTCAAAACGTAGTAGACCAACGCAATGACAATCTCTACTCCAATGCAGTATCCCCACAGCCGCACAACAGTGACGATGTCCGTCCACCCATTGCTCGTCTCTTTGCTGATATACTGATCGTACGGATCGGTAATCATATCACGGTTCGAGAACCACCCGAACAGACAGAAGATAGTAGCAAGGATATCGACACCCAAAATCGCCGCCACGAGAGGTAAAGATGGCCAAGTTGAGCTTCCGCGGGTCACGAAGATTAGCCAGTTTTCTGTTAAGGCGACTTCCAAGAAGATGATTTCTTGAATGGAGCCCCAGTTTTGGACGATGCCGCCGTCGGGAAGAAACAGTGTGCCGCGGATCACCCATGTTCCTGCTGCGAGGAGAATCCCTAGGATGACGGAGATGACCCAGATTTTGGGGAGTTGCCATTGTACAGGGCGAAGTTCGTAGGAGGCATTGTCGTAGGCGACTGCTACGGTGGCGACGTCGGCGAAGAGGGCTAGGAAAACGACGAGGTCGGTACGGATACTTTCGTTCAAGATGATCATTGTTGTTACGAGGTAAATTTCTAGGTGTAGGCAGAGCGCGATTCGGTATTGGATGTAGGCTTTCATGCGATGGAAGATTTGACGGGCGACCTGCTTCTTGTTAGAGTGGACCAATTGTGACTCTGGGATGGGAACAAGGGGTGACTCACCTTGATGGAATCGATGATGGTTGATAGCCCTGGCTCCAGAAACACAATGTCCGATGCAGATTGCGCAGCCTCCGAGGCACCCTCGACCGCGATACCACAGTCTGCTTTCTTCAAGGACGGTGCATCATTGACACCATCTCCAGTCATGGCTGTAAGATGTCCACGATCCTGGAGCATCTCGACAACCTGGTATTTGTGTTCCGGGAAGACCTCTGCGAATCCATCTGCTTTCTCTACCAACTCACCAGCCATGGCGCCGCTGAGACCACCACTGATCAACTTCTCCGAGTTGTAAACCTTCGTACCCAAAGCCAGCATTTTGCACGTCTCCTTTGCAATAGCAATAGCATCTCCCGTAAGCATCTTCACCTTGATGCCTAGCTTTTGTGCCTCAGCAATAGTTTGAGCAGTGTCATCACGAGGGGGATCAAACATAGGCAGCATGCCTAACAAGGTCCACTCTTCACCCTCTTTCTGAACAGCCACGCCAAGCGAGCGGAAGCCACGCTGTGCGAATTCGGTTGCTTTTTGTCTGTACATTCTTGCTGTTTCCTCTGAGCAGTTGGTCAAAGATAGAACTGCTTTAGGCGCTCCTTTCGTGCAAGTGTAGCGGGTGCCGTTAAGGGAGACATTCGCAACGATTCGTTTCGAGACCGGGTCAAAGGGTGTGAAGTTCTCAGTTTTCCACCCTTGTTGGAGGATTTCCTTTGCCTTGGGGTATTGGTTTACCGAGAGGATGGTCACCTTGTCAATGGGGTCGAGCGAGCGCACATTATGGGAAGAAGCGAGAGCAGCGACTGCGAACATCCAGTTGACGTCGACTCCTTCGGATACGAAAGGTTCCCGGATGCTGAGGCGATTTGCGGTTAGGGTTCCGGTTTTGTCGGAGCAAAGGATGTCGACACCCTATTTATTGTATTGTTAGTATCTGAATAAATGGCAAAAAGGGGCGATTTAGTAGTCGGGACCAGGACAAAGGAGAAAAGATGCCCCTGAGAATACTTACAGCAAGTGACTCAATAGCAGTCAATTTCTGAACGATAGCCTTCTTATTCGCAAGATAAGCCGCACCAACCGCCAAGGTGGTAGTTGTAACGACAGGCAGACCGACAGGGACCCCGATGATCAGGATAGACAGGGTGTAGAAAAGAAGAGTCTGTTCACCAGGCGAGGCAATTGGGATGTTTCTAAAGAAGCCACCAATCCAAACTGCCAGTAGCCAGGCCATGACGATTACCAGCAAGGCAGTTCCAATGCTATCCATGACCATCTTGAAGTGGCCGGTATCTTTTGCATTCTGGACCATTGAAGCAGTGCGGCCAACGAAGGACTTCGTCCCAGTGGCTTGGACGACTGCGTAGGCTTTTCCACGCTTGCATCCTGTTGTGTAGAAGACTTGGTCACCAACAAATCGATCGACGGCAAGAGACTCTCCCGTAATAGCTGAATGATCGCAGGCCAGGATAGGATATCCCTTCTCATCGTCGTCAGAGTCATCCTCGCCCTCCTCGTCATTGGACTTTTCGGCATCCTTTTCGAATTTTCCTTCGCTCCGCAGTCTTTGGTATTCACTCCATCCTTGGTCGGGTTCGTCGTAGTCACAGATCACCTTTGCATCGGCGGGGACAGTTTGGCCTTCTTCAACGATGATCTATTGGAAAGGAACATGAGTACTTGGTTGGTAAAGCAATTTGTAAGAGTAAGCTTACCACGTCGCCAGGAACCAGTTCCCGTGCCAAAATATCCTGCTCCTCCCCGTTACGCACAACAGTACTGCGCATGGCAATATCGGCCTTCAGACTGGCAACCACATCCTCAGCCTGCTTCTCTTGATACCAACCAACCGCTGCGTTCAAGCACAAAATGCCAATGATGACACCAAAGTCAATCCAGTCCTTCAAGCCTGCAGCAAGCAGGATCGCAATCTCCATGACTACAAACACAACCGTCAGCGCATTCACCATACCAAAACAGTAACTAAACCAATCATCAAGTCTCACCATATAGAATAGGCCCCTGAAAATACGACAACAACCTCGCAACTGGGTTCTCCTTCTCCGAGCTCAACTCATTGAACCCTGCCGACCGTCTCCTCGTCTCGACCTCCGGCTCCGATAACCCATGATGAATATCAGTCAGGCGCCACTCTTCCGGAAACTCGCGCGACGACCCAACATGCTTCCAGCGAAATCTTCTCTTCTTCCACGGCGCATACCACACACGGCTTTGGCGGATTTCTCCCTCTCCGGGATCATTCGCGTCTTTCTCGCGGTACGTGGACATGAACTTCACCAGTCGGGTGTACTCGTCGAGTTTCGCGTCTGACCTAGCAGACCGGCTGGAAAATCGGGAGGCACGGCGCGAGCCGGCATCGCGCTCCACGTCGCCGTTAGTAGACATACTGAGGGCTATGGTGCAGCCGTGGGTGGGATTGCTCGGAGGGAAAGAGAAGAGAGTAAATGTAGCGCGGAAGGTCCAACCAACTGCACCGTCGACGGAGCTCGGGGATTAAGGGGACAGGAACAGGGAACGACAAGCAGTTTTGTACACCCACAGACTATATGAGCGGTCTTTAATAAAACTTAACTGGGATTCTTGCTCATCCTGTTTTGCTGCTTGCTGTCCGGTCGGAAATCGGCAATCTCGGAAATACGAAGCTGAAATACCTCATGACGTCGCGTGCTGCATGATGCATGCTCACTGCAAGTGTCTCACTGGGTTGTACGCCCGAGCTAATACTGTGTAATGTTTGGCCATTCCGAATTGAGTTAGGAATTGTCGTTGACTGTATCTAGGAGTGGCTGTTATTTGGAGATGGCGTGAAGCTTGTAGCTGTCGCTCCACTTGCACATTGATGCCCAGGATCTCTGCCATTGACCCTCGGGCATTGCTTACAGTTCGAATTGATCTAAAAACCCCTCAATGTGCTGTTGGAGTTATCTACCATCTCACGGTCTCACTTGATACTGCTATCTACTGCTCATCGAGATGAGCCTCAAGATGGACTGAAAATACCTCAGCGCGGTCCGAGGGTCGTTTACGAAGTATAACGCCCCGAAAGGTCAGATGAAGCTTTGTTGATGTCATGTTCGGCAAAAGGTACGAGTCAGTCGACGATCTGTGCGGAGTTCAAAAGCTTGATTGGTCCTGACCCACTCCGTCACAGGCCTGTGTTATCGCCACGTCCATCATTGCCCTTTGCACGCACGAAATGGATGGGAAAGACGGGACGCAAATAGGGTCGAAGTAACTACCAGGCACCTCCTTTTATCGAGTACAACTTCAAAAAAGACTCGGCAGTATGAACCGTAACATCATTATAGAAATTGAAGAGTTCTCGCCTTCAGCTCCCGCGATACATCGTCCTGCGATAGCAACTCTTTTGTCCTTCAAATTAACGATCTAGACCCAATCCAAGCATGTCCTCCATCCATATCCGAGCCCCGTTTTCTCAACCACGGCCAGATCCCGCCATGCCGACGGACCGAACCCCTGCCAGCACCAACCAATGTGACCCAGTCGGATATGCGGCATATGGGGTTCAGCTCCATGATAGGCCCTCAGACCTTCATCAGCTTGGCAAGAAACCGGTCTCAAGCTTCCGAGAAATCCGCGATTGCCCCGCGGAATACCTCTGTCATATCCTCGCCAATCAGCTACTCACACCCTCAAGGAGCGCATGCTGACATCACTATAATAACACATCCTATTGGTTTTCGTTGCCAGCATGTTTTGTGATATGAGAGCTATGACCAAATCACGCAGTCAAGGAACGGGAAGGTAGTTCGGGTAGGTGAGGGATTTGCTTGACCATGAGGACTGGACTGCTACATATTATCGCGGGATAGCCAAGGTATTTTTTTGGGATAGACTAGATTGTCCTTTTCACGTTTTTGCTATCAATAGGCAGCTTAAGCCTCTGAATGAAGCTGCGGTCCATACTTAGTCTCTTAGTACACTTATACTGTCTATTCTTCTTGGACATAACAGTTTGGAAAGATAGTGCTTCTTCACTCCCTTCCAGCCACAAAGATGTGAGTACTACACGCCTCACAAAAACCATACAGAACTTGAAGCATAACCGCAGATCACATCAAAGCAGACTTTATCGCACAGCTTCCAACCAATTCAAATATCTTCTTCCTCATACGAACAAGACGCTCACAATGCCAGCCATCAACTTCCCCCGATCGACCACAGTCCTGTCTCACAAAACCATCGGCAAGCGAAGCTGGGCTGGTGAAGAGCCCGGTGTGATTCTGGATTTTGTCGTGGTCTTCATCGTGCTCTGTGGGATTTTGGGCCTCATCATTCACAAAGCGTGGCGAAATCGTCAGGCCGAGAGGGCGGAATGGGAGATAACGGAGATTAAGGATTAGTGGGCAGTTGACGTTGTCTTTATACCCGTTTCTGAATGTGCGCCTGACGTGAGCGTTGAGAATGGTACCTTGGAAGTCTTAATCAATAGCTAAATTGATACGCTTGTGACCAGAATTGGGTGTAGGATATAGTTCACTACTAATTGCGATCCCTAGGTCTGCAGGCGCGTTACTGTGTCGGGGCGGAGGTGAACCGCGTGTACTTGAGATAATGTAAATAGCAGGTCGCTTGCTGCGGTGATATCTTGTCCACATATGAACCGAAATGCTTCAATATCTCCAAAAATAATGGTGCTTAGAACTGATCTCTGGTCTTTCTATTTTCCATGATGACTATGATTCTTGTACCTCCCCAATTTCGACTATCTACCATGACATAAACTGCCTTCGTTACAAAATATATACTCCAATCATGGCAAAGATTATCAGCTTGACATTGTCTCACATCGTAAGAAATTCCCGACTTATATGGTTAGATAGCATTACACAGCATCTGAGGAAAGAGCTCAAACCACCTTGTTGGTACTGCAAGTGTCGTTTGCGGAAACCTTCGGCGAAGAGCAGCCAATGTATAATGTCGTTAATTGTTATCGAGTACATATCAGATGAACAACTCAGCCTAACCGATTGTCACGTCTTGACAAGCTCAACACATGGCGGCCATGTGCGACGTACGTTCCACGTGCGCAACCCTCTCGAGACCCTGGAACCGGAAAACCCCCTTGATTGGCTTTGGCCAAGCAGGGATCTTCATTTCCAGGACAGCAATTGCCTACGACCGTAGGTAATGGCTGATGTAGAAAGATTTGCGCATAAGCGTGGCGGGAGTACGCTTTCCGTACGACTTATCATGATAACCAGACACTGGAGAGCGTACAGAATACAAGTGGAGCCGACCACAGCTGATTATATCAAAAAAGGCTATACTCCCATGAGACTGTCATTCTTTTGCTGAATCATCAGATCCACCAACCGGTCCGTAGTTATAGGTCGCAGGGTCAGATATCACACTCCGATCCGATGGAGTCTCTGGTATGTCACCACAAGATAACATGATCAATAAACGGAGTATAGAAAATATATAAGCCACAAAACCTGATAGAAACGAAGAGTACAATCACCCTCAATCAACCAACGTATAAATAGGTATACAACCCCCCCAAGCCTACCCCTAATATAATCCTTCACACTCCCAAGTATCCGCCTCCCAAAAACTCCCATTGCCGATATACATCGCTTGCTTCGGCCACGGGCAAATCGGCCTCTGCTTAACAACATAATCCAAATCATCCTCATCATGAAATTTAGTAGCAACCAATTAATCCGGCACCGTACCATTCTCTACCCATCCAATCATAGCCAACAACGCATCATGCTTTCCATCATTGAACCCCTTCCTCTCATGAAGATGATTCCCCGACCCATCACTTCCGATAGTCGACGCCTGCGACGAACCCCCAATATACCACGGCGCCTCCATGTTTGATGGTGTGCTTCCGCAATGCTCCATTTCCGGGATCAAGTAGAACTTGTAGAAGTCATCCAGATCAATGCCCTTACTTCGCAAAGTCCGCTGTATTTGCTTGTAGAAGTACACGCTGCCGCCGGTGGGAATGGACGGGTCCGCGAGACCTGGTAGTGGATGAGTTTTGAGCCGCGGTTGTAGAAGGGTGAGAGGTCGAAGTTGTCTGCTGTGGCGTTGCCGGGGTCCATGGCGTCGGACAGTCTGACCAGGGATGGGTTCCAGTCAGCTCAGGAGAAGTTCGTGCCTTGTTGGAGGAAGTATTCGATGTAGCTGAAGTCCGGGGTCTGGCCCCAGCCGGTTTCGGAGCCGATTTCGTAGTGAGGGAAAATGAAGGTTTGGTTGGCTTCGACCCAGTCGTTGTAGTAGTGGTAGAGGGTGTCAAGTTGGGCGTCGGTGAGGCAGGTGTTGCTGTCGCTGGTGGTAGTGTTGGCTGGGCAGAGCATGGTTTCGAGGTTGAGGTTGCAGCGACGTGGGTCGGAGATTATGTTATCTTTTACGCCGTCTTGAGGATCTGTGTTTGTGGGTGAGATGTGGTGAGAATGGTGTTCGGATCATAAGAATAGGTTAAGGGAAATGGAAAGCGTACCACACTGCTTCAGAGTCTCATTGGCAATTAACTCGAACAAGTCGGAGCTGATATGATGTGTCGAGTTTTCTGGTAAATGGTACTCCGCAGCGTAGATGTTGAACAGCTGCAGGTGAGTCGTCCACCAGGCTGGAGCACCGACGACTGCGCCATCGAAGTCGTCTGGGAATGCTTCAATTTTCTTCAACCCCTGACGACCGCCAGTTGAGCAGCCGTTGTAGTAACTGTAGTCTAGGGGCTTGCCGTAGTAGGCGGCGATGACCTTTTTGGCTTCCACTATGGAGAGGTGCATTGCGCGCCAGCCCCAGTCGACGATGGACTCGGGGTTCTTAGCCCAGGAGTTGTCAAAGGCAGAGTCGTGGCCGGTATCAGTGGACATTGCAACTGCACCATAGGTAACTCCGGCGCCCTGTTATGGGAATCAGAACCGAGGCCCAGATTCAAGGAAGGAGCTGCCTACCATTTCCGCATAATTGACTCCTGAGAAGGCAGAGTTGCCCGAAACCCTATCAAATGAAATAGGGCCTGGTGTGGCATATTTTGTGGGTAGTACTCACACCATACGTCCCTTCCAGGTGTCTGGTAGGAACAAACCAAAGTTGGAGGTTGTGTCGGCATCAGTGGGCATTTCAATCTGCACAGCACAGAGTGCCGGTAGCTGATACGCTGGGTCGGGGAAGCCGGTGTCAGCTGCTGGGGGCGTGAATGTGCCATTTTCGGCCACGCGCTTGGCTAGTACAACTGAGGCATTGGCAGGTATAATCTTTTGGAAGGCTTCAGTCGAGCAGTTGAGGGTGGCGTTGGCGAGACCAGCACCTGCAAGCAACGCTGTGGCTGCTGCGGGTTTCTTCATCTCACAAAGCAAGAATGTCAAATATGTTAGGGATTGAATGATCTTGAACCATCTGGTAGAGATTCTGGGCATGGCCTTTAGAATGGCTCACAGGCTCAAGTATTTATATTTGTTTTATCAAGCCTGGAAGACTTGATACTCAGGGATGACACTCTCCAAGAGTATTTGGAGCATCCTCGTTCAAGCCCACTCTATCTCTTCAATCAGCATCAACGCTAAAACTAGGCATCAGCGGAAGTTAACCGAAGATATGATAACTATTTACGCACCCGTGCCTGCCTAGACGCCGTCCGAATACGATTGTGATGAGTCTCGTCGGACGTCGGATGTGGTTGTGGTGGCATCCCCGATCTCCGACTGCCGGCTTTTCCGTTGAAGGGTCCATCCGCCCACTGCCCGCATCTTATCAGGGCTTCGAGGCGTCAACAACCGAGGTATGGGCATTTTTGATGGGGTAAATAGGGCGGGTTAGAGGGCAGAGTGGAGAGGGCTACGCGGCCGCCTACTAGTTAGTCCCTGAGGGTCCAGCTAGGGTCGACGACCCTGACGATTATGTTCCAGTTTTCTTTTTCTTACGTCCATTGTGTCAATTTTACTGGATACAGGACGAGGTATACGTGGACCGTGCATCTTTCGGAAGAATTAGGGAGACGGTTATTGAGACTGATGATCAGAAAAAAAAATTAAGAAAAAATTGTTCCAACTCGGTCCGCGTATGCAAAGTCCGCAATTGCCATGGGCTATAGACTGCAAGCTAAATAAGATAACTACCACTACCACGTAAGCTACTGAGGCTGATTTACTCTCACACAGATTATCTCCCAAAGTCCGACCCACCCGAGGTATCCTACCATTCGACATTCTGGCTAACCAGCTCCGGATTAGATCAATTCGGGCAGGCTCTGCAACCTTTCCAGCTCCCCAAGAGTTGCCAAGCCACATAGTCGTTGCATTTCCCTTACTGGGTGGCCAATAGGTCAATCCTTCGTCATTAGGGTTGCCATTCTTGATGAAATTGACCCAGTAGCTTTGCATGACGTCCGCAATAGCATTTCAATGAGCCTGGTTTCATCGATTCTGGAATTAATACTCAGCCTTGAAGCCAGTTGATTATAAGCAGTAGTGCGGAGACCCGGACCTTCTACCATTTCGGTAGACAGTATAGCCTGGAAAGTCGAGGGCTACGGAGTCGGTCGTGGTTCCCTTCCGACATCCGCCTGCTCCAATTTATTTCCCTATCAATAACACGTGAGTATTCTGAGCAATGAACTAACTGGGCTTGGTAGTGTAGTAAGTGGGACCATTGGTGAGTATGGACGCGTTGTCTTTGACCATGATCACTCCACGGGATATTCAAGCTCTGTGAATATGCCCAGCCCAAGGGCACAGCGTTTACCTCACCGGACTTAGGAGGCTACCAGGAATTGAGAGGGCCTAATCTACATGGGTTGAATGAAAATTCCAACTTAACCATCATGATAGTCATGAGTGTCGTATAGAAATGTTAGCACTTGGGGGACTTCGTGACAATTTGATCTTCTAGAAGTAGATTGTCATGATTCTCCTTGCTATCCGTGTATTGAGATGTTCGTAGAAGTCATTTATTTACAGATCATTATCAGGTGAATCATTGGCATCAACCTTTAGACCGTTTAGGCCAGATGTAGGGAATTGCCGGCATCAATATGGGAATGGCACGCTCTCTTGCATCGACTCATCCAACCGCCACGGTTCGTCACCCACTGGTAATGGGAAAGCACTCTCACCGATACCCCCTTCTACTGGCTGCATCTGTCCCATATACAAGACTGGTGCATTCACAGCAGGGAAAGGCCGTGACGGATCAACCCTTCCCGCGGCATCATCTACATACCACGGTTCAGCATATGCGGGACCCACCATGCCACTCCCGAGCGAGGGTAGTATGGAAGCTGAGCCTGGGCCACGGTGAGGGTCCAACATGGGGACACCAGACGCTGGTGGGGGAACTCCGCCGCGTAGATAGGTATGTGTATCACTCGGGCGAGCAATTATCCGTTTCTGGATCTGTTCAAACCACTCTCGATTCTTGATCGCAACAACGTGATACCATTTGCTCGGAACGCGGTACTTCTGGTCTCCACTCGCTCTCAATAGAGCTTGTCCGACGCGGTCCAGATAGCCGTCAACGTCCATCATCTGGGAAGAGACCACCTCACCGAGAGGGCCAAATTGGGCCGTGTGATAAATCCGAAGTAAGGATGAGATGCCCAGGATCATTCGTGTGTAGGTCATGTTAGGTAGCTTGCGCATGGTAGAGGTGTCGCATTCTAAAAAGGCGTCTAGCATCTGGTGGGAGGCCAGCAGCCATTTCGTTATTATCTGGACCCGTGCAGCCGTTATAGGTGCGTTTGCTTTGTGTCTTTCCATGTCGCCTTCTAAGGGTGGGAGGGTGTAGTATTTGCGGGTTGGAGCGTCGGGGTCGCGGTAGCTTTCACCAGCGGCAAGTTCGTAGATGGCGAGGTACATGTGGTGATATTCCAGGTTCATCCATGCTGGGAATTATTGTATAAGCAGGATTCCAATTATGTGTGGATGCGACTTACTTGTGAGCATGTTTTTCGGGGTCGTCCTCTTCCAATGAAGCATTCGAGAATCGAACCAATTCAGGATTGGAAGCATCTGCGACTCACGAAGGGAAATATCCACTAAGGTATTGTCCTGGCCCAGTGAGGATAGCGTATCGTCAACGATCCGCTGAAGGCCAAACCATGTTGCTATTTGCTGATCTAGGCCGATTGTAGATTCTCTCAGGTGGTGTATGTACCCGTCTATCACATCGTTGAAGCGGAGCATATTCGGTCGATGCGTTCGAATCCCTATGCTACGGCTAGGTCAGTCGAGTAACAACTACGTGATAATCATAGAGTCCATACTTGGACGCGAAGTGATAGCAGCCCAGTACGGCGCGCGCCTGGGCACTATGGATGGAAGCTGGTAAATCACCATATCCGCCATGACAACGGTAATTTTTCCGTCCCGCCGGTCCAGCTGCTATACCAAGCTCTAGAGTCATGGTGGTCGCAATGTGCGTGTATTGGTAATATTGACCCTGTAAACGTGATGTTGGGGGGAAGTAAAAGATGAGCATCAAGAGGATTGATTGAATCAGCTCCACTGACTTTTCCTGCCTGAGGAAAAATCGTTCTGCAAATATCTTGAGCATCTCCTCATTCAGAGTCTCCGCCAGGTGAGGATTTAAGGTCATTGAGGAAGCAGCTAGAATAGACAGGAAAAGCACCGGGCTCGTTCTGCGCAATGATTCCGCAGTTGTGTTTGATGGCAACACGACCATTGGGTAGAATTGCATCTGTTCGTTGATAAAGAATGAGACCAACGTTTGCGCCATGTCAAGCGATACGATGCCGCGATCAACCACGTCCCCAGAGCCAGCTGGCGACTGCATCAGGGTCAGGCTACTGTTGGTGGGAGCAGGCTCGGCAGGAGAATTCCTAGCATGCCGATCTGAGTCACCCTGAGCAGAGGCATTGTGGACACTAGGGGGCTCCATGCGCGTAGATGATGAGAGTGCGGGCAAGGACGCTACGTCGCGGCCAGACGCCCCCGGAGGGTCAGTAACTGCGGCTGCGGCCGCGGCATCATCTGCCTTTTCCCCGCGGTCTGAATCCGGTCGGATCTGGTCATGTAACAGGGAGCGCAAATCCCGCACGTCCCTTTCCAACTGGGCCACTCGTGAGCCAGTCTTCTTCCGTGGCTGTCGTCGGAGCGTGCGGGCAAACACGCAGGTTCTTCTCGTGCGGGTACAGCGCTGACACTGGCGCGGGACGTTGGGATCCGGCAGACAGCGTACTTTGAGCGCCCTACAACTCTCGCACGACTGATTCAACGGGGGCAGGGAGCTTGGTAGATTGAACGAGCGATGGCTAGAGGGCATAGAGGCCGACATTGTGCGTGTCAAAGGTGTATTTCATGAGGAAGCAATGGTCTGAAGGAATATTTAAGAGGGATTGCGTTGCGCCAAGCCCGGTAGTGGAGGAGTGAGATGGACTCGGATTCCAAGCCGCGTTTGTTGGTTGGGGGACCCGCTTGATGACGATCGTCAGTCACCCTTGGATCCATTTTTGATAAGACAGATCAATTGCTCCAAAGATTAGATGGAGGTTTCACAGCACGGGGACCATCGAAGGGAAAATAGGTTACATTGGCCGATATATACTATATCAGGGACCGGAATGAGACTATTTTCTTCAGGACAATGTGACCTGCAAAAGGTGGGACCTTTTCGACGGTCGGAAGTCGGACGTCGGAGATACCTTTGGATCCCGAATACCAGCTATTCCTGAAATGGATTAGGCGTGTCACGGCTCTTCCGATCCCCTGTTTTGTTGTGTAGTTCTGGCTCTTCCCTGCCGAGGTTGAGCATCTACGAGCTTTACGTAGTTCAATAAGAGGTTACCGTTATCTATCATGTAGCATAACTGGCGGACTCTCAAATCCTATGGTCGCAATAACATGCAGCTTTACCAGTTGTACAGTCTAGTGGGGTTGGACACCATTATCGCCTGCCACTCCTCGGCACTGACCCAGGACCGCAAGCTCTTCAGCCATTCCGCGTCATCGATGACCAGATATGGGGTCTCTGTCAGTGCTTCTTCACGCGTACGCAACTTCATATGCGGGGTGTGAGGCCTAGAGCCTATGTTAGCAGCGAATCATCATAGTGCTTATTTTGAAATACTCACCAGTCGCTTCCCCATAGGATCTGTTGCGGGTTGGCATCCACATAAGCGCGCACCAGTGGCTTCACGTCTGCATACCGCGGAGCTTCATGACTTACGCGGTATGGAGCGCTAAGTTTCACGTATAGAAGCCCAGAACGGACCAGATCCATGATTTCCGTAAAACCGGGCTGTCGCGTGATATCTCCCTCATACTCTGCAGGCAGCATACTAGCGGCCTTGAGCAATGCGAAGTGATCAGTGACCAGATGAAGGCTAGAG